TATATATATTATAGCACAGATATCGGTATTGAGTGCAATTACCAATATTGCTCTTTCTGTACTCGCCGATACCAGTACTTCCACTAGCAAGGAGCCGGCTTCCCAGCCAATCAGCACGGAGCCGGGTCATTACCCACCGGCTTCCTGGTTGGCCGGGAAGCTGGCTCCATGCTGATTGGGTGGGAAGCCAGCTTCCCGGCAAATAAGCATTGAGCTGGCCAAATGGCACAAAACTAGTATCTGTATGTGTATTTGATCTCTTTACTATCTACTATCTACTCCACACAGGGACCAGTAGTAACCCTATACCTTTTTCTTTCTATGCAGGAAGCACGCCTTAAACTGTCACAGAATGAAACCAGCTCTCTTCAGTGTTCTCTGTGAGATTAAAGAGAAGACAGGTAAGAGATATTCACCCCCACACTATAGATATGTATATAGAGACAGTACTGGCCTGAGAGTCCATGAGCAATGGTGTGCCACTCAGATCCAAAGTAATTATGTGATCCCAGGGGTGCAGCGATACCATTTTTTTGGTATCCTGTACGAGTCCCATTAAGGAAGCCGGGCGGCGGTTAATGACTCACCGCCCAGCTTTCTGATTAGCCGTGAAGCCGGACGGCGTGTTATGACTCGCCGCCTGGCTTCCCGATTAGCCAGGAAACCGTTTCCATGTTCCCTCGTCACAAGTTAACGAGGAAGCATGGAACCGGCTTTCTAGCCATTCAGGAACCCAGCGGGTGGGTAAGGACTGGCAAATCGTTACCCGCCCCCTGGCCACTCCCTCCACTCCCAACCCCCCCACTTCGCACTACTGGATTCTCTTGCATTACCAAGAATACTGTAGAAGAGCATTGCAAGCTTAAGTTGACCATACACTGCTTGAAATTCAGCCAGTGTGTGGTCCCCTCGGAACCCCCCACCATCCTTTCCTTACCCACGCTTTAACCGCCGCACCATTCTTCCCAATGACTTTTATTGAAGAAGCTGGTCCAAAAATCTAGGCCGAAAAAATGGTCAGTGCATAGCCAGCTTTAGGGTGTTTTTACTTGGGGTGTAGCAGATCCTGCTAACCACACAAGGCACAAATAGTAAACCTTTCTTGTACCCATATAATGGGCACAGTTTGTGCTAGCGGTGGTGGCTAGTGTCTTACTGAACCACCAGCTGCATTATGGCGCAATCAGATCCACAAACACGCCATGTTCTTAATAAACTCTGGTGCCTGGGGCCAAAAAAGTTATTGCGTTTAAATGGGTCAATACACACAACTAATAAGGAAAAGGTTTAATTGAAAGCATTATGTGAAAAGGTGAACTAGCCCTTTTACATCTACTATGCCAGTAATGTCAACGCCATGTGCTCTTATGTATATGGTACTAATATCCTCACTCGTATCTCCCAGACAGGGAAATGCAGCCAAATGATCCTTTGATATTTGAGTGCATGGCATTTGTTTCGTAGTTCTCCAGAATAGGACCTTCCTCTTGGAAGAGCTTTGATACGAGCGCAGGGACAGTGTGTCCTGGCATGTACAAGCCATATCAAAAATTGAGGCAGGGCCCATACAACCAATCAAATCCTTTCTTTACGTGATATAGAAAAAAAAACCATTAGGTGGCTCTTGCCAGTAGCTGATGGCTCTGGCCGATATTTGATGGGTTCTGGTGGCTCTGGTCGGTTGTTGATGGCAATGTGCACACCATGTTGTCATGCTCCAGTGTTATCGCCCACAATGGTGCTGCACTTCTATAGAGGATGCAGTCTTATCCTGAACGTACTCTGTGGTATTTGTATGCACACAGCAGGGTGACTTTTTTTTTTGGCCAGAATCCATTTTAACTGCTCAGTGACAGCCAGCATGGGGCACAGCGTGTGGGGTGCACGCATGTTGCTCTCTAACCTCTTCCCCCCCTCTAGCTGCCATGACAACAGAGGTGACATGCGTGCCCTCTGTCATGTCGCTTCAATAGGAGAGCAGTGCCTGATGGTTTACTATTAAGAGTGATGCTGAGCACAGCTTGTACTGTGGGAGAATAGGAGTCTGGATGAATATAGGAGTCCTGTCATATCATTAGCAAAATGTTTGAATATTTGCGGCATTTCATCATTTTATGCCTGCCTTCCATGCCTGGGAATTTTTTTGCTTTGTGGCTGGAAGGACACTGATTAGATCGCTTTTCTGAGCTTTTCTTCAGATTAAATAAAAAGGTAGTTTTCCATCAGGGAGCTACAAAGTGCCTGTGCACAGCAGAGCAATCGTTCTCTCCATATCCCCTGACAGTAGGTGGTAGGAGACAGGATTTTTATGACAGAGCAGAATTTTTACAACACTGCTGTCTCAGATGATTGCTGTCAAATGATATTAGGTTATTTTAGCTTTCATATAGCTCCAGGATGTAACACAAGTACACTTTACTGCAGTGGCGGTCAACTTTTTAAAATAGGGGGGCCTCCATTGTAGCCCCTGACATCACCGAAGGGACGCACATAATATTAAATGAATGCAATGTTACCGAAAGCTGGCAGAGATTGCAGATATGCAGGAGATGGTCAGAAACTGTAGGCACGCTGCAGGCGCTGGTTGGGGGGACTACAGACACGCTGCAGGCGCTGGTCGGGGGGATTACAGACACGCTCCAGGCGCTGGTCGGGGGACTGCAGGCACGCTCCAGGCGCTGGTCGGGGGGACTGCAGGCGCTGGTCTGAGGGACTGCAGGCACGCTCCAGGCGCTGGTCGGGGGGACTGCAGGCGCTGGTCTGAGGGACTGCAGGCACGCTCCAGGCGCTGGTCGGGGGGACTGCAGGCGCTGGTCTGAGGGACTGCAGGCACGCTCCAGGCGCTGGTCGGGGGGACTGCAGGCGCTGGTCTGAGGGACTGCAGGCACGCTCCAGGCGCTGGTCGGGGGGACTGCAGGCGCTGGTCTGAGGGACTGCAGGCACGCTCCAGGCGCTGGTCGGGGGGACTGCAGGCGCTGGTCTGAGGGACTGCAGGCACGCTCCAGGCGCTGGTCGGGGGGACTGCAGGCGCTGGTCTGAGGGACTGCAGGCACGCTCCAGGCGCTGGTCGGGGGGACTGCAGGCGCTGGTCTGAGGGACTGCAGGCACGCTCCAGGCGCTGGTCGGGGGGACTGCAGGCGCTGGTCTGAGGGACTGCAGGCACGCTCCAGGCGCTGGTCGGGGGGACTGCAGGCGCTGGTCTGAGGGACTGCAGGCACGCTCCAGGCGCTGGTCGGGGGGACTGCAGGCGCTGGTCTGAGGGACTGCAGGCACGCTCCAGGCGCTGGTCGGGGGGACTGCAGGCGCTGGTCTGAGGGACTGCAGGCACGCTCCAGGCGCTGGTCGGGGGGACTGCAGGCGCTGGTCTGAGGGACTGCAGGCACGCTCCAGGAGAAGATCAGGGTGATCAGAAATTGAGTTAGGGGTCAAAAGCCCCTAACACAATTAGCCCCCCCCCCCTTTTCCACTCCTGAACCGTTTCTGGGTAAGGCCAACGCTGGTCATACAGTGTTAGAATTGTCTTTGAATGTTTGTTTGAAATCATTCATCAGAGTTTTCGATCTTGACATTGAGTCAACTATTTACATTTGAAAGCCCTTAAAAATTTTGCCCAGATGTACTAAACGGGTTCCTTTTTTGCTCAGCACATGCACATTGCAGTATGCATGTTTTTCTTTGTTTCCTAACGAAAATCAAATTCATGGTTAAAATTTCATTCATTCAGATAAGAAATGAAGGAAATTTTCCATCCAGCTCCTTTTTCCTCATCACTACGTTGATAAGAATCTACTAATCATCAAAATCAAACAAATTTTTTACTGGTGTATGGCCAGCTTAGTAGCCAACTCGAAAATAATTGGTGCTGGAGCTGTCTGCCCACATGGTCTCCTCCATTCACTTCATGCATACATTCAGCTCCCATAGGAGGACCATGGTGGCCAATCTAACTGGAGAAGAGTAGGATCATACCATTTATATACCTGCTCATCAGTCATACGTGCGATCTCTGTTAAGGTGCACGTACACTGCACGATTCTCGTACGAGAATCGCGGGAAATCCTGCGATTGTACGAGAATCATGCAGTGTGAATGAAGACGTGCGACCATTTCTACTGTACGGTCGCACGTCTTTTGTCTAAGGAGCACGCTAGAAAACCAACCCAAAAATCTTACAATTTTCGGCTGGTTTGAACAGTGCTCGGGAGACAAATGCCGAACAGGCCGGTGTGCGCACACTGCCCGTTCAGCATTGCAGTCATCGATGATTGCAAGTACGATCTGCCTGTCGAAGATGGGCAGATCGTACGTTTTTTTAAATTACTTTACAACCATCGCAAGACTAAGGTCTTGCGATGGTTGTAAAGTGTATGGCCACCTTTATTCCCTCAAGAAAATGCTGGTGCTGGGATTGTGTGCAAGGTTCATTATCAGGCACTCTGCACTAATCAAAAGAAAATGGTTACATTGTAGCTTTGCAATCGTCTACCACGTTGTAAACGACTACCGACTTGTGGCCGGTTCTTCTGTTCCCGCGATGCTCTGGGATACTGCACTTTTACATGGCTGTCTACCTTTTGAATTGATCATTTTGTTATATTGTATATCAATAGGCAGTTGAGTTTTTTTTCCAGAAAGCCTCAGGTTTCTCTTGGGCCTAGGAAAAGGCTTGCATGTTCCACAGCAAACAGCAGCGAAGTGTTTACACATGTATACAGTGGAGCTGAGGGCGTCCATTAATTTGTATAACAATGTAGGATGGTTCCCCTCCTCCTCCTTCTTCTCCTTCTTCTCTTATTTAATGGTAGTCCCCTCACCCCCCCTGCTGCGAGGCTGGTAATGGAGGGGGGGAGGGCAGCAGAGGATCAAATGTCTGACACTGCACACACACTCACATAATCTGGTGTGTTCTCCCTTCCCATCAACCATTGCTGCTTCATTTGCTGCCCGCCCTCCATTCGCATAGCAATTTGAAGCAGCGATCCAACCTTTGATTCCAGTGTTTTTTCAATTACTAAGAAGTCAAATACCTCAAATGAATTGCAAGCAGATGGGATTTAATGCAAAAATCAGATCACGGTCGGCAACATTTTTTTTTTTTTAACCAGTTTTGATTCCATTTCAACCCGATCTTTCGATAAACTGTATCAAAGCTGTTAATTCGTTTCTCAATTTAAGCTTCACATTCCGCTGGATTCTGGTGGTCCATTAAACCCCATGCTTAGTAGATGTCTTTGCTTTGTCTCTGGTGAAAATGGCTGTGTATGGCCAGCTTTAGTGTTCGCTCTTATTGGCATAGCCATCAGTAGCAGATCCTTTAAGTCCTGTAAGTTGTGAGGTTGGACCTCCTTGGATCGGACTTGGTTTATCCAGCACATCCCACAAAAGCTTGATTAGATCTGGA